CCCAGCCCCGCCCGGCCCCGCCGCCGCCCGCTCCCAATCGCGGCCCGGGCAGGAAACGGCCGCCGCGGCCTCTCGGTTCCGCCGCACAAAGGTTCCTACGTCCCCTCGGCCCGGCCCGGCCCCGCGCGGGGCTGCAGGCTGGGACCTCGTCGGGCCGAGAGATCTCTGCAGGCCTCAGCAGGCCGGATCCAGGCCTGGGCAAAGCGGGTGCGGGACCTGCGCGGGCAGACCCAGGTGCTGCCGGCTCTCAGGACTTCTGGAAAGAATCCCCCCTTCCTCTTGGAGCTCAGAGCCGCGTCCCCTGCCCCTACCTGTTGCTACTGCTTTCCTCACTGTCCCACGCTGGGGAAGCTGCAGTGCTTCCCCCTGCCTGCACCAGGGGGCTAGGGAAGGGTTGGGCTCAGCTGGGACAAGGACAGCGGTGCAGGCAGGGGAAGGGACACCCCTCCTGCCCTGTTACTGTCCTCTGCTAAGCCCTCTCCTGCACAGCTTGGCTGGAGCAGGCAGAAGCTTCCCCAGCCCCTGGGACAGCAGGAAAAACAGCAGGGGCAGGTTGCGGAGGAGAGGGGACCTGCCTCAGCATGAAGGGGAAGGAGGGGGATCCCTCCCTGCTTTGGGGACTTTAAAAAAGGTCTCAGGGTGTGATCCAATTTGAAGGGGGGGGGGGGCAGCCACAGCACACCACACCACTGCACCCCTCTGGATCTGCCCCGGCATGCAGCATAATGCAGCTCTGATTGTGATTCAAATAGTAAAACTATAAATGTATGACATTGGTTCATCAGGGAATGATGGTGGATAAAACTATGAGCAAACAGTTGCTTTCAAACAGGGCGATTATATAAGTCTTGCCGCTTACAAATAAGGGACAGAAATTGCTTCTAGTACTCAGTGCTACAGGAAGTTAGGACAGGAAGCTCTCTGTCCTGCATTTCAGCAATGGGCCAGGAAAGGGTCATACACTATTCAGTGTGTCATTCATGTAGATAAATTAATTGTTTCATAGTTTCATAGTTTCTAGGGTGGGAAGGGACC